GGGGGCGGTCGTACGTCAAAGAGCTGCGATTGTAAATATTGATAGACACACTCGTATTATTATTCCAACGCGACCGTATGTGTACCTGTGTATTATGCGCGCGTGTATATAGTTGTTAAATCGGATATCCTAAGTGTAAAGTTGGTGTTGTTCTTATAGGGCGCGTGCGTGAGGTCCTGTTAATAATTTAAACGAGCTGAAATACCTAATAGTGCCTCTCCTCCCCCCTTCGATAATATTATATCGTACTTGGTGGCGGCTGAAGGGGAGACGAGGTGACTCGGTCGGCGCGAAAGAGACGGTGGTGGCATGCGACGAACAATACGCGACTTAATGACCCGGCCCAACCCTTCTCCGACGTTGAAAACAATCACGTACGATTTTTATAATAACACACAGACTCGTACATTCACGTGCACGATATAACGTGCACGTTATACGCTCGTATGTGTCGCGTACGACAACGACGCGGTCAATACACAATATAATATTTCCAGTGACGTTTCCCACAAGGTATTCGATATAACATGTATTCGGTGCGTTATAATTTGTAAAGTTTACCGTCGCGTATTTCCATACGAGTGTAAGTATAGGATCTAAGATCATGGGCGTATTTTAGGGGGACGAAGGGGCGATGGCCCCCATAGTGATCGATGTGCAGGGCACTACGATCGATACCACATTAATTATTTAACGACGTAGCACGTTCGTTGTTATCTTGAGACGTAATAGTGAGAAAGATAGGTAATTTGAATAATTAAACACTTGTATGTTAACACTTATAAAAATTACTGTTTTTATTAATTTGCCACAAGAAAAATAACAAACAGTTAAAAACAAAAATAAAGAACAGTTTATTTTGGGTTAAGAATTATGTACTTGCGGTGATGTGGCTGTAACAATGTCCACGACTAGTAACTATTTATTAAAGAGGGAAAATAACCAGTCCAACACTGTCTATCAAAACTACCTATCTACTTCTGATTAATGCCAAATGCTCTACCTGCATTTATATGAGTTCCAATGACGTAAAGTGGTGTAATTTTAATATTACTTCCTTTTACTGTCGATTTAGCATTATTATGTTAATAGGTGAAAAACTACTTGTTGTTTTCACCTTTCTCTTGAAATTATTTCGGGTAACATCTTTTTTTAATACTTATATTATTTTATTTCACATTATTTATATACCATTTATATAATTTTACATAACATTGTATAAGCATCATATAATATTCATGTAATCATTTATACAACTTATTTATTAATATTTATACTAAATTATATTGATTATTAAATTATTCTGAGCCTTGGGCTTATTACATCCCTCCCCCTTGAATTCTTATTTAAGGAATTGATTACATGCGAGATACACATTTTAAATTTTTTTAATTTGGTTCATTCTATAACGAAATAAGATTACGCGTTGCTGTGAATACTGAATTGGGCTTTTTGTCGAGTTCATAATTGGTGAAAAATCAAATAAAACACAAGCGTAACTTTCAAAACACAGATAGGTAGCAAAAAAGAACTACACAAAAGTAGATTCTAAGTGGATCCGGCATTAGATAAAAAAAAAAAAAGACCACAAGTATGAAAGATTCATCTGATTTAAATATTACCAAACATTTTTCTTCTAAATTTTAAGCCTGAATTAAGGATAACATCTTTAGTCACCCCTCCTCTAGAAGTAAGTCTAAATATGCCCCTGTCTAAGATATTAAAATGTTTGTACTACGTGTACAATATTTGTTAGTTTACGGTTGTGGCCCATGAAGTACTTTGCATGGAGGAAAAAGATGAACCTATTCCTTCTCAATTTCGATTTAAATGTTATATGAGAATAATAAATATTATTCCACGTTTGATAATGGCCAATTCTACGATATTTGTATATATAATTAACTCTATTATTTTTATTTTTACTTCGTTACTTCAATAAATAAGATTTTATTGCACACTTTTAACTTTCGTAATACATACTTTGTGTACAAAATAAAGTACGTCATAAATAGGTGTTCATGGTCTTGTCGTACGATACGAAACGAGTTTAATTATTTCCCGTACGGAATCAAAATAATCAACGGATTTTATTTGTTTCAAGAATCACAACATGTTCAGTATTAGGGAATGGAACGCAAATTACAAACATCTGCGTTGAAAATGTTTATGAAGTAACGAGTCGATAACTCAGTGTTTTGCAAATAGTTTTTTTAGCTTTTTATAATAATGAATTTTAAAAAGCTGTTCATTTTCAAATTCCCTAGAAATACTTCGGAAAGTAAAATTGTTGAACGCCAATTGGCAAACCATATAATATATATTTAATTATTATTTATGTTGAAAGTGGTGTACTCTATAACATGGCCTTCGTCGGTGGAAGATGCGTATTATTAGGCTGAACCAAATGTCTTTGTTTTTGTGTTGGATTACCAAAAAAAACGTTTTTCGTATAGCACATATACACTCGAAAAATATCATGAATAATATGCAGTGATATTGTGATATAGAGCTCGTATGATTTATGAATTTATATTTTAAATTCGTCGTCGAACAACTGTTGCATATAATAATTAATAATAAAAAAATGTAATATAATACACGTAATGTGTATTTCACGGTAGTTAAAAACTTGATTGACATTTGCTTTCGTGATTTGCACATGGGCTATATTTTCCATTAATCAACTGAATCTAATTTTAGACACTGTTAAATTTACATTCGTATACAACCGCGCCATCCGCATATAACCATTTCAATTACAATTTTAATACGAGTAATTTATTAAGGCTGCTTGTTGTTTTCAATACATTAAACTCGTATTTGAAAAATCTTTCCGCAAAAATAAAAAAAACTGTCTACTATAATATAACGTTCATCGGCACAAATAATCATTTTATATATATATATATATATATATATATATATTTTTATATTTTATGCCCTTTTAATTAATGATATATACATATTAAATTACTATTCGTTTCGGTACATTCATGACGTATACGCATTCAAGTATTTTATGAAAAAGAGGATTTTTGTGTGTTATTGTTAAATCTTAGCTGAGGTGTTCCAATTTTTCAATTTTTTTAGCTTTAAAATAATTATATCTTATTGAACCCCCTTCCAGTAATATGTTTTGACATCAAAATCCCTTTTTGGTCTACGATAATAATAAACAAAATGTCTATGTTAATATGAAAAAAACGTTCTGCCTCATAGAATGTTAATATTTGTATTTATATATATGTTTTATGCTCGTCATTATACATAGCTGTTACGCGTTATTCTTATAGTAGTCAACAGGATTTTTGTGATAGAATCTGAAGCTCCGTGCTGGTAACAATAACAAAAATAATAATAATAATACATCATAACTGTGAGCTGCAGTGGGGATATGGGACGGAATCACGAATAAATACGAAAATATTATGGAAGGAGTCAAGTGTATCGTTTATTTCGCCATAAGTTTTTTCCTTCTTCATAAACGTAATATTCTCCTAATATTTACACACTTATAACCGTACATCGTATATGTAGACTGTAATTATAAGTCGTAAAAAGAACCGAGTTGGATATCGGAACGGCCCGAGGGTCTCCCCTTGTTATTTCAGATCCTGCACCCGTTTTCTATTACTAAATTTTTTCTCATTTTTAATAATAAAATATACTATTATTATTATTATTATTATTATTATTATACTTATATATATACATATGTATTATGTGTGACGGCTGTCGGTCGTTTTCTATGCTCTTGCTTTTATTATTACGGTTCCTGGCGCCATACTGTAAACGTTAAATGCGATATGAATATAAATTCCAAACCAGAATTTGAATTTATATACTATTATAACAATATTATTTTCTTTCGTGACATTAAAATTAAAACACGATTTTTTTCCGTTGCATTTTTTGATCTTTTATAGTTTTTTATGGGGAACATTTTATAATATTTTAATTTTTCACGCACAATATGTTATATAAGTTTTAAATATTATGTAATAAATATATATTCCACTATTTTCAGAAGGAATCGTATATGAATAACCGTTTATTCTCAGGTTTAGTTAGAATAGTAGTATACTATTCATAATTTATTTATTTATAATATTTAGATTGAATATAGTTGTATTCACCGGTAACTATGTATTCAATATTTTGTATCTATATTATATTACCACAAGTTTGGCGTCTAAAAAATACAATAACGTGCGATTGCTACTAATAAATTATACTTTTAGATTTATATTTTACTATAAAAATGAATTGTTAATATAGTTATTTACATATCCAAATATGTAACTATTTAATAAATGTGCGATAAATATATTTAAATTGTACTTCCGTTTATGAGCTATTTAAGAAATCGAAATCCCAAAACCGTCATTTTGATTATCGGGTGCTCAATAATTAAGTGCGTGCAATTTCGACTCAATAATATTGTCACTATGTTAGATTTAGTATTAATGAATAATCTTATTCTAATAACGTTCTCGTAGTGGGAAAAATGTAATTTTATTGTATTTTCTTTCGCAATAAAAGTTTTTAGGCAGCATAATATAGTATGTTATTTTTAGTTTCATATCATCTGAAACGCAGAAATTTTTTTTTTTTTACAATGTTGATGAAATCGAATGTTTCTTAACTTATCCATATAAATTTAAGTGACTACTTAAGTTGAGTAGATCGTCAACATTCAAAACTAACTTCCTGTGTCACTACACTAATTATTTCAAATTATCAAACAACTATTTTTCAAAAACGCATATCAAACCGACTGAGAAAACGTTCGTTTAGATTATCATTTTATCATTGCCTATAATGTTATTTCTTTATAGACTGCGACCAAAATATATATACTTTTTCGGAATGCGTTTACATCGATGAATCATTGTCATTACATATAACATTAATAAAAATGAATTTTACTTGTTTTAATTTTGGGGCTTATCATACATGTTTTTAATAATTAACACGTAAATATGTCATTTTAATAGGAACGCCAATCAGCCGTCTACCTATCATGGCCAAACGTGTGTTAGATCTCTACACTCTTTACAAGTTGGTCGTCCAGAGAGGTGGCATCGTTGCGGTTATCACCAAGAAGTTGTGGCAGGAGATAATCCGTGGCCTGGGCTTACCTCCATCCATAACGAGTGCCGCGTTCACATTACGCACACAGTAAGTGCATGTTACATTATTACCGATGTGTATAAAATTATATCGTGAGTGACGTAAGTATTATTCTATTCGGAAGAAAAATAAATGTTTGTGGGTGACATATAAACGCAGACGAAATAATGGTTATAATACACGAGCTTCCATAATAATATCAAACCGTCTTTCTACAATCAATAATTATTTTTTCCTACACATCTTCTGAAAAATTGTTTTCACCAAATGTAATGTATAATTTTTTTTAAAAAATATTATATTAATAATTGATTAATAGAAATTATTTCTGTAGACAGTAATCGCAAAAATTGACTATCAATAAATTGACCTACGGGTGAAAATATAGCAAGGGGGTCGATTTTCGAAGCGAGTTTAGTACAACTTTTTATATTATGTGTGATGAGTAGTGCTTGACTTGGAAAATGAAAGAAGAGGGACTCTATTTACTTAAAAAAAATAGCGACTCCAAAATTTGTTATGCGTCATAATTATAATATAATAATAATAGATGGACGCTAACATTTCTGAAAATTAGTTGGGGTACTCCGTTCCCCTGCGTCCTCCCTCAAGTGGAGCCCTGATGAGTATAGGCGATGCAATATGAGGAATGATTAACTTATAACAATAATGATACTTAAAATGTTTTTTAATATTGTAATAAATATTTCCAGTCAGTTTTAAAATTTAAAATTAAATTTTGACTTCTTAAAATATACTTAAAATTTCTTAAAACATTCGTTTAGAGGTGCATAGTCATTTTTTAAATTGATAACAAATATTTAATATATATTTATTATTAAAAAATTGTTATCTTTGATAATTTCGTTTTTAAATGAGGTTGGATAATTCATTTTATTAAATAAATATCAAATCAAAATAATCAAATTTGCTATAATATTTCCAATAAAAGCCATTAAAAAAAAAAAAAAAAATAATCAAATCGACTTAAACAACATAATTTATTTATAACAAAAAAAAAAAATTTAAAACATTGAATATTGATAAATTTCTTATCACATCTTATCTTATCACAAACGTAACTAAGCCAACGAGAACCGTCAATTTCCTATGGGTAATTTTCTAGCTCCATCTATGGTACATGCTTAAACGCAACAGGGTTCAAACTATCGCACTGCTCCTTAAATATATAAGTATATAATTTGAGATTTAAAAAAAAAAAGAAAACATTTTTTTCACGATAAAATGTAAAAAACATAGTTCACGCTGCCAATTCTGTTGCCCCTCGTAAACACGGCCCTGGCTGTCGAAACAATTCGTTCATTTCGTTTACCGTTGAAACGTAAACTTGGACGTCTCAATACGTGTATTGTGTCCGAGAAAAATAGACGACAGTATGTACCGCGGTTACCGATCTGGTGCTGTACGTACACACCGCATGGTCGGACTCGTAGTCCTCGCAGTGCTCAAAATGGGAAAAATTAAGTAGAGGAGCTTAATCCAACGAATTAAACACTGCATTCCACGTGCACAATTATTTAACACTTCCCCCCCCCCCTAACATTGTATATATTTTAAATATCACTTTTCAGTTGTTACACGAATATTTAAATTCCAAATAACAATATTGATAAAGTTAATAATAATAAAAAAAAAAAACCGTACTACGAGTGTACCGTATCGAATCATATCTGTGTACACCAGACATTACTAATTATATTTTTCGAGAGTTCGAGTACCGAATCCAAGTGTGGTCGAAGATCCGCCGTGCGCTCGTGCAATAATCGCATACGCTGTTTTGTTTGTGCGCAGGTACGTCAAGTACTTGTACGCGTACGAGTCGAGGATGAACCAGTTCAGCACGCTGGACGAACTGAACATGGCGATAGCGGGCAACAGGCGCGAGGGCCGGCGCAACAAGTCGCTGATGTACTCGGACATGCCGCCGCCGCTGGCCGGCCACCAGCACCACCATCACCACGGCGTGCACGGGAATCCGCACTCGATGGTGCACGGTGCCGGTGGCACGGGGGGCGCGTCGCAGCCGCCTTCGCACCACCATCACCATTACGTGCTGGCTGCCGAAGACCGGTTCCGGCAGATGGCCGCCGCCATCATCGACAATCATCATCATGCGGCCGCAGCGGCCGCAGCGGCTGCGGCCGTCGGCGTCGACCACTCCCGACTGCAGCAATCGTGCAGCCCTCCACAGCAGCAGCAACAGCAACAGCAACACCCGCAGCAGCAACAGCAACCACCCGAGAGCGCCAAGACGGCCTCGGCCGCGTTGCAGCAGACGCCCCGCAGTTCACCGGCCGCCGGTTTGCCACCTCCTCCATCGACGGTACCGCCACCACCGCCTCCGTCGACATCGTCTTCGTCGTCGCTGTTCAACGGCCACCAACCGTCGCCGTACCAACACGTCCAGCAGCAGCAGCAGCAGCACCAGCAGCATACCAACGTCATACAAACCGCGCAGGAGCAGACCAACAAACAGAGAGGTTAGTATACTGCTTGCGAAACCCTAGTGGTAACTTACCGGTTAAAATATTCCAGAACCCAGTTACGTATTTTAGACGTACCAACGGTTACGAATATATAAAATATAAAATGACTATAAATATTTTATGATTGTATTTGAGAGATACCACGTGAAACACAGATAGTAAAAAAAAATATAAATTAATAAAAGTATTAATTCGATAACTATATAACATGCAGGATTTCGGTTCGATTAAGATTTAATTAATAAAAACGAATAAAAAAAAATTATAGTTTCAACTGATTAAAGCAATACAATGACAAATAGATAAATACAAGAGCTAATAATTTATTATTACATGGTTATTATCGCTAACTACAAGTAACATTAAATATAGGTACTCAAACATCAACATTATTTAGTCAGAAAACAAGTAATTTTTAACTTGTAAGTTCTATCGAGTACAGGTAATTAATAAATAAAAAAAAAAAGATTTGTTTTTACTTCACTGAAATTACATATTATATTATTTTATTAGATCATACAAACTTGTTATCTTTTCGCGTTGTAAATATTATTTGTTTTAATCGTTCGAGTGGTTTCTGTTGTACCTCATTACGAATAATTTTTTTGAATAAATTAACACATCACCTGCATAATTAAAATAATATTATAAGAACCATATTTCAACACAATTCATGCACCGCACTTGGATAGAATAATAATGTTATATCACATAATGCTTGATTTAAATAATATGTGGCAACTATAGACGATGTATGTTAGCGATTATATAGTTAATTGGTTTTTATTTTTAAAATAATACAAACTTTTTGGTATATTATACGCTACAATCGCATATACACACGCTAATACCGCACGTCGTTTTCGTTGTATATTCGTTTATTTAAAAATATATCGTGATGGCATGGTGGCGGTGAAAGCAGTATGACAGTTATATTATAACAATATGTATAGCGTTCAGTGTTGAGCACTGTCAGCTGTATAGATACCTATACGCATATACACAATTTAAATGGGTGGCATTTGAGCCTGCAACAGTATAATAATATTACATTGTTTAAAACTGTTTGAACGATTACTTAGTTATTTTTATTTTAATTTGATTTTTTCACTTATATAAGTAATGAGTTATATTTCGTACGTATTATATATGCACGTTGTTTTATAGACGGATCCAATTCGTTATTGATAAATCGATTTAATACAATAATTATTGTTCACGATAAATCAACAAATCATTGTCATACAGATCCTCATTTATTACCCTGCACTAAAGCAATTATTTGGTATTCGTACAGCTTGTTGAGAGTAAATTTATGTATACAATATATCAAAATTGGTTCGCAAACATTTTTCGGGATCCTTACTGGTCTAAGGCTAAGCCAATACATTATTGCTGTGCATTATTGAACTACAGACGTGCGTACCAATTCTTCGTAAGATTTAGTACAAAACATTTTCTACATTATCAATTGTTAGCACGTGATTAGCACAAAATCTAATGAATGTAATTTCCGTGACATTTTTCGTTGCAGCAAAATCATTATTTTCATGATCATGAATGCTTCAATTTTGTAGCCCATGATCATAACTATCGTAAATAGTGTTACATAAATGAGTAGGTAAGAGTGTTCAAAGGCGAAAATCGTGCTTGGTATTTTTCACCCAATCGATCGACGGTTTGACAGTTAAAATTGTATTATCTGTAGTTCCGATGGACTTTGAACGATTGCAATTTTTCGGAGAAAATAAAATTTTACCCCAGAATCATTCAATATACTGAAACGGTTGTCAACACTAATTTGATGGTCCAACTCCTCACCGATATGTGCCCACACATTCATGTGCTGCCACCCGACGGCAGACAGACGGACTCGTTGATATCTTTTTAACGTATACTCGTGACAATTGGTTTTTTTTTTAATCTTAACTGTTCATCTCGATGCTTATTTAGAAGTGCCTCGGCGGAGAAACAGACGTATGTTGTGCCAAGGGATATGCCCACGCATAAAAAAATGAAAAAAAAATATAAATCTAAAGATCTCCGTAAGGGAACAATTCCGGGTAAACACGTAATAATAATATTATATGCTCAGGCGACATGATGACTACGAGAAATATTTCTCTGTCGTCGCTCCCGTTTGACAAGTCTGTTGAGATGTGTACCCTAGGGTGCATAGAAATACAAAATACGTATTTAAATACGTATTTACGTCCATTGTCATAATTATACAAACATACGTACACATGTATATAATTATTTATACCCGTACATATTGTTTTTGCGAAAAACTAAAGCATCTTATATTTTTACATGCATTAAAAATAAAAACATCTATCAATTTTAAAATATCCAAAAAACCTGACTTGAAATCTTTTAAATCAAATACAATAATTTGAATTATTGAAATATAACCTTAAATCATAAAATTGTTGAAAATATAAATAGGTTTATAAAACGATTAGTAAAAATATGTTTAAATAGTTATACAAATATTATACCAAAGATAATTTATATAATAATCCGTTAAATATTTATTGTTCTAGCTCAGTGAATACAAGATTTAGACTTGGTTAGGTGTCCAAGATTTACAGCATTAGAAAAAAATAAAAAACGTTTTTAAAAATACATTTTTTATAGGTAGGTAATTTAACAAAAATAATTAATCCTCAGATTGAATAAAAGCAACACATCCTAATTATTTTAAACGTTAACTAAAAATGCTGAAAACTACATGAACAAAAAAACGATGTAAAATATTTAACATGCGAATCATATTTTTGAACTTGTAAACGGTCCGAAACAAATTTAGTTTTCGAAACGATTAATTCTTATGACGTACAAAAAAATTCAAAATCCCATAAGACTCCAACTATACGTTGCTGCGTGAAAATTAATTATAATATTGCAAACGTGTGTGCTTACCTGGATCGTTTTTGAAACTCTACCAAGAGCGCGTAAACGGACACGTTATTCGTTGGCGTAGTGGAGAAACGATGACGAAGGGAAAAAAAACAAAACGAAACAGAAAAATAAAATAAAATAAATATCTCACCGCGTGTGTTCTAATTTCTGCTCATTCATCAGACGTCTTCATTAGTTACGGGCGGCACCGGTGCAGGCGATCAAAAACGCGTTAAAGGGAACTCGTTGGAATCGTATCAAGACGGCGAATACCGGGTTGGACGGTTAATTATGTAAATGGGGTTGGGGGTGGGGGAAGCGAAAAAAAATTTCCGTTGTCACGCGTTAATAAACGGCCGCGTTTCAGTGTTTCGAAAATCTTACGCATAAAAACTACACGTATACATCACGACGACGATAACTGTGTATTTATATCTCTTCACGTCTACCCGGTGTGCTTACTGCGTATGTATACACTTCCGTATAGGTATGTATGTGTGTTGCCGCCGGATTCAACGTACGAAAGTGTACGTAAAGCAAACAAATCGTTTCATAACTCATTTTCTTGATTTTCGTACGCTCGATTGAAAAATCCCTGTACATATTGCATGAAGTGCATCGGAATAATGTTGTCAGGTGGACCATCGAATGTAGTTGATATCCGTGCTCAAAATATTTGCCCTAGAATTACGGTTCCTATGTGTACACCGTCGAATCACAGCTACTTTTCGAAGTATTGGACAACAAATATCGATGGTACCCACGCATACAACATGTGTGTCATCGACAGGGGTGTATTGGTACGTGGGTATACGCCGTATACCCTTCAGCAGATTTTCGTTTTACGGCGTATTCGGCGTAATGTAAAATATTATTTTACAGGTATACGCTTCTAAAATAACTAGAAAATCAAAATCGAATATTAGTTCATTCGAAAATTTTTTTATGAACTATGAAGTTTGAATTAAATATTTATCCGTTGAGTATTACAGTGAAGATTGCTGTGTATAATGCATTTTAAGTTCAATTTAGTAAATTACATTTTGAATAATAGATATTATTAAATATATGGAGTATGGACATTCAGTCCGTGGTTCTTAAATCTGCATCATGCAAATCATAAAATTTATAACGTGTGGTAAATGTATATCTTGTGGTGTTGTATTTTATTGTCTTATTAGAAGTTATAAACATATTAGAGTTTAAATTAATTTATTCGAACGTATTGAAAAAATTATTTTTAGGTTAATATCTATATTTTTTAATGCCTATACCCTTAAATATATTTACCAATACACCACTGATCATCGAGAACCTCGGCCTTGTTGAATAGTTTCAGTTCATAATATTCAGAAAGCGATTCGTTTATAATTTGTTGAATGCCAATTCGACGGTCAGATTTATTTTTATCTGAATTGGTTATCAAATTTACCAAATCCTATTGCGTGCGCGTGTGTGTTTGCGTGCGTAGTGACTTAATAAGACAATACGAATTCATTTTTACCTGGATTCACCGATACATTATATTTTTTACTCATATTTTTCATAAAAATGTTTACATTGCATAGTATTTTTACTATAGTGGAATGTGACGTATTATATTCAATGTCTAGCATAGAAAAAATCTTGGATCAAATGAGGGATTTTGTTTATGCTGTATATTTTATTTTTGTATCTTTTACAAAAAATGAAATATGTTAATTTCTCTTTGTTAAATGTTTGAAAATACCTCTGGGGAATATAATTTAGAAATGTAATATAATCAAAGTTGTTGCGTGTAATGGGACTATATCTGATAGTCGAATCATCTAAAAAAGCTTAAATTAATTTTATCGTAAGTCTTAGACTTTTGTTTCGGTATGGTTCTTTTTTTTCTATCATATGGATGTATACATATACATTTTTATTTACATTAGTTTTTACTAATTGTAACGGTAACATAAAATAAAAATATATGGCTTGTAATTTGGTATTTAGGTTAGATATTAGGATGAAGTGGATTATTACTTGTTGTTCATGTATTGCAATTAGTGTTGTTACATTTTATGTACAATATTATTACAATGATATGAAAATGGTTTTAATACATA